ATATGTATAGGTAACACAACAAAAGAAAGAAGAAAAAAAAAAAAAAACAAACACAATCCTGCAACCAAATTCCCACCAAAACCAGTTCCGTCCTTTCCACCTTTTGGCATAATTGCAACCACGACCAGCAGGGGGAGCTGTTGGATCTCTGCAGGAGCAGAGCCTGCAGTTCCTCTCCACGGCCGGCAAGGGGCGCTGTTGGGCTGAGGCGGCGCCGGTGCGTGGGAAATGGGGATACCCCCCGCGACGGAAGGGGAGACAAGGGGAGAAGGTATCCTCCCTGATGACTCACGCTGTTACTGCCTGTGACTGAAAACTCCTCTTCCTCCTCAGTGGACACAAGCTCTCTGCTGTCGAAGGCTGGCTCTGGCTGGGGTCCCTTTTATTTCATCAACAGGCACAAGCTGCTGCCGACCTGGGGAAGCAGGAGTGGAGGGGCAGCCTTTCCCCTCAAAGGTTCCTCCGCAGATGGCACTGGCTTTCTGATGAATCCGAGGCAAGTCCAGCCAGTGGGCAGAGCAGGACCTGAAGAATTGGAGGCAAATTGGGACCTCCTTCGGGGCCAGAAGAAGCCAGTCACTTGGCCGAAAAAACCCCAAATGAATCCCCGAGCTCTTTCTCTACACACACCCCCTCTCAGAGTCAAGGCAAAAGTAAAAAAAAAAAAAGTGCTGTCTCCAGAGGAAAAAATACCTTACCCGCGCCACACCCCCGTCTTCTGAGGCCCATTAGCTTGGACTGTGGGCCCATTACCCAGTCCTTTTTTGTGCCTGTTCACTCTAGCCACCTCCCCCTCTCTTGATCAACATCTTTCTTTCACAGTGGTAAAGAATTCCAAGCAGGGTGGGTTTTTTTCCTTCTTTTTTACAAACAATAAAACCTCTGACATTATCCACCCCGAGTTTTTTCCCATACCACCACACTATATCAAATTAAACCTTTGAACTATATACATATTACAAATATTTACATACAAATACAGGCATACAAATACTGTTAAGGACAGTTCACCCAAAGATGAGGTCCCCTAAGGTATAAACCGTGTTTCTCCATCTTCCTGCATTATCCACCAACTGCAGCCTGGTCCTTGAGCAAAAACTATCCCACAAATGGGTTTGCCTCTGCTTGAGGCAGGATTAATCTGAAATGTTTTACCTAACATACCTCTCAAGTGTATTACTGCGACTTTGTCTCCATCTACCATGTGAAGGGACTCTGATTGGATAGGGCCAGCTCGACTGATGGAGCCTCTGGCGTTGACTAACCATGTGGCCATTGCTAGGTGCTGATCCCAATGCTTGAAAGCCCCTCCACCAAACTACTTCAGGGTGGCTTTCAACAATCCATTACACCTTTCAACCTTCCCCACAGCTGCCATATGGTATGGTATGTGACAGACCCACTCAATGCCATGCTCCTTCACCTGGGAGTAACTAAGGTATTCTTTAAGTGTGTCCCATTATCTGACTCAATTCACTCTGGGGTGCCATGTTGCCACAGGACTTGCTTTTCAAGGCCCAGGATGATATTTTGGGCAGTGGCATAGGGCGCCAGAAGCATTTTCAGCCATCAAGTGGTGGCTTCCACCATGGTGAGCACATAGCGCTTACCTTGGCAGGTTTGTGGCAGTGTGATGGAATCAACCTGCCAGGGCTCCCCGTACCTATACTTATTTCAACATCTACCATGCCACAGGGGCTTCACTCTCTTAGCCTGTTTAATAGCAGCACGTGCCCCACAATCATGGATAATGTGGGAAATAGTGTCCAGGGTTAAATACACCCCTTGGTCTCGTGCCCATCTGTAGGTGGCATCTCTGCCCTGATGGCCTGAGGCATCGTGGACCCATCGCACTAGGAACAATTTTCCTTTATGCTGCCAGTCTAGATCCACCTGTGACACCCTGACTTGTACATCTCAGTCTGCCTGTTCATTGTTGCAATGCTCCTCACTAGCTCAATTTTTGGGCACATGGGCATCTACATGGTAGACTCCCACAATCAGCTTCTCTACCCAGGTGGCAATGTCTTGCCACATATCATCAGCCCATATGGGTTTCCCTCTGCGTTTCCAATTGACCTTCTTCCATCTATCCAACCATACCCACAGATGATGGCCATCATCCATCACCCATGTGTCAGTGTAGAGGTAAAGCCTTGGCCACTTCTCTCATTCAGCAGTGTCCAGTGCCAACTGGACAGCTCTGAGCTCTGCAAATTGACTTGGTCCACCTTCCCATTCAGTAGCTTCTGCTATTTGTTGTTGCAGCTGCTTTCCATTTTCAGTTTGTCCCTACAGTGCAACATGCCAGGGGTTGTCCTGATGAGGTGCAGCACGTTGCACTTGGTCTTGTTAAACCCAATTCCCATGGGACCACTTCTTGAATTTGTCTAGGTCCCTCTGGATGGCATCCTGTCCTTCTAGTGTGTCAACCACACCACTCATCTTGGTGTTATCTGCTAATCTGCTGAGGGTGCACTTGATCCCTCCATCTATGGCATTAAGGAAGGTATTAAATAACACTGGTCCCAATATGGACCTGTGAGGGACACCATTTTTCACTTATGTCCATTAGGACTCTGAGCTGTTGACCATTACCCTCCGGATATGACCATCCAACCAATTCCTTATCCACCTAACAGTCCATCCATCAAGTCCCTCTCTCTTCAATTTACAGGGCAAGATGTTGTGGGGGACCGTGTCAAAGACCTTTCAGAAGCCCAGATAAATGACATCTGTAGCCCTTCCCTTGTCCACTGATACAGTCACTCTATCACAGAAGACCACTTGGTCAGGCAGGGCTTGCCCTTGGTGAAGCCATGCTGGCTGTCCAGAATCAACTCCCTGTTCTCCACGTGCTTCAGCACAGCTATCACGTAGGGCCAGATATGTCCATGGCCTATATAAATGCCTACAGCTTCTCCAACTGCTCCTTAAATATCTACATGCACAAGTAAGAGACACTGAGCTTCCAGAGTTTACCCCTGTGCCCCCTGTACTTTACTTCTCCTAATGCCCTGAATCTTTGCACACTTCCTTATATATATTTACTTCTTGTTTGTCTATCTCATACTGTTTTTTAAGGCTGAATAGGTCTGTTTCTCCACACAGGGTTTTTTGTTGGTGTTTTTCTTTTTCCAGTATGATGATGTCTTTTTTCTTTTTAATGAGATGTCTTATATTTGGCTCCTGATCCACACCAATCCTTCAGTTCTACAAAGAACTGCTTCCTTCCTAGTTTTTCCACATTCAGCATTGCCAATAACGACTATATAGATATAATACATCGTTACTCAATTTTGCTCTTTTTTTTTACAATTCAGCAAGCCACCTTCAGATTTTTTACTTTTTTCTCAAAGTATTCCTGAATCTTCCCAGACTTTATCAGTGACTTTCATGTGGCCACTGCTGAGCAACTAAACAAAAGGTGACCCAGGAAGGACTCCCTGCTGAAACTCCACTTGACACCCTCTTCTGATTTTATAATGGATCATCAAGGACAGTTCAGGAGCAGCTATTCAAACAATTTTGCACAAATTCACAGAACTTTTATCAAACACAGATTTTCTACCATTTTTAGTGTTCTCTCAGACAGTGCTACAACTCTTATGAGTCAAAATCTAACAGTACATTTTTTTCCATAGCCACAGGGACAGGAAATACCTTACTGTATAAGAAAACTAAATCAGGCAGACACAACCCGTACTTAATAAACACCCACTCACCTTCTCACCACATGCTGAGAGTTTACAAACAGGTGTTTACATTTCATGAATTTGTGGCCAGAAGTCACTTGCTTCAAACTGCAGTATTTCTCAACTTGCCCTGTCTTGAACTGACAGCCTGAGTTCAGTGATACGAGATTTCTAAACAACCCTTGTGGAGTTCTAAGTTTGTCTTACAGCTGTCCTGTAAGTCTAGGGGAAAGGCAGATTTGTGTGTGTTACAGCAAGTGATTCCTCTATATCCGGAACAGAAGCTTGTGAAATTTCTTCCAAGTAGTAAGTAGCTCCTGATGCTTCAGCCAGTACAAACCACAAGCCACTCCAGAACTTGGGCATTGCTTCCATTTTCTTCCTGGGTAAATTCTCTATTATTTTAGCAACAGCTCGTTTCAGGGGCCTGGCTTCTCTACCTGACCATCTTTTGCACAGCTTGTAGAAAACTGTCTCCAAGACTTTGTCTATGTCAGATTTGGTCAAAATGAGCCTGGAGCTCTGAAGTTACCAGAGAAACGCCATGGTATAATGATGTTCTCCTAGGCTCCGTGGGATAGGATAGTATATGAGCTAAGCCACTAGCTGTTTCTGACTCCTAAAAAGATATAGACATTAACTTGGAATGAGTAACATTCTTGAATTATAGCTGTGCTTTCACACAACGGCTATTTCAAGCTTGATTATAACTGCTTATGAGGACCCACGAATGTCTCAAAAATTGTCTTTTACATGAAGCGAGAGGAACTCTGGTAAAAGGGAAATGGGAGGGGTAAGTGCAAGGCTACTATGCACCCATAATCTCACTCCCTTAAATTGGGAGCAGAGTCTTATACTGAAGATCCACACTTTGTTCTCCCAGATGTACTCACTCTGACCCAGTTTCCTCTACTTGTGGAAATACAGACCACTTGTTTTTAGCCATTCTTGCTACTCATCCTTGTTGTTTCATGGGTTTGCAGTTTTCAAAGTATTTGCTCTGGTTGCAAGAACCAGTTTGCTAAGCAAAGTAATCTCTGTCTCACTAATTAATGGTCTTATATCTAACACAGTCTCCCTTCTCCTCCATGAGTTTGCTTTTATCTGTGTAAGGGAGAAATTATTCTTACTATATTTCAAGGAGTTGTACTGGCAGCTACATTTTTCTCCAGAAACATGATGTATGAAAAAGCAAACAATATGTACTCCAAATGCAGATTAATGCTGCAAAGTATTACATGCTTTCCACAAACATTTAGCATATAGACTTCAATGGAGACAGGAAGAAAACCCAGCCCAACACCACTCTTTACATACTATTTATTGAGTTTTTAATGACTGTGAATTGCAAAAGTGTTCGCCACCATGAAAAGTTAACCATCCTGTCTTAAAAAACAAAGTTTAACATTAAAGGAATGATGAATATCACATGCCAGTATCTACAATATGCTCAACACACCATTGCATCCCACTAAATAAACTTTTAACTGAACCTGAAGTCTAGGAACCAACTCACTTCCTGCTGGTAGGGGAAGAAAGCATTCTGAGACTTTAAAGCGTGCAGGTGCATATACCTCACTTCATATGCTGCAACGTGATAGAGCTACTTGGGCATGTGTATATGCATCTGTATGATTCAGTGCACAAACTCCTCTGTATGCCACTCACACACTTTTCTGGGTACTAATTTTATCCTGAAGGTGCAATCTGTGAAGACAGAAAAACTGCATGTTTTTAACTCTTTGAAATAAATTTAGCTATTTTCAGAACACAGAAGTTAATACTAATTTAATGTAAAGTGCACTAGCTACATCTAAAAGTGGTGAGCTACAGTGGAATACACCAGCTAGTTCTACAGTGAAGCTTTGAATAACACATAGTGATCTTTGTTCACAGAATCTCCTATGAAGAATATGAAGGCCAGAGGTTACTTACTAAAAATACAGGTGATTCTTGGCCTGTTTCTGCATTCATTTACCTCTTCAATAGCTGAATGCACTGAGATTTTTTAAATTATGAAATTACTTCTCTGTGAGCAGTCAGACTCTGCAGCGCAGAACAGCAGTTAACAGCAGATTGATTAGAGCCCTTTGAGTCAGAGGTTGCTTTCAAACAAAATATTACATAGGAAGGCTCCGGTCATTTTGAATAGTACATTATGTCTGCAGTTATTACATTCCCAAGCAATACTGAAAATAACTTACCATTACATAATAATTTAGCAAACAATATCAAAAAATCTTACTCAAAGTAGGGCCATATTAGGCATCAGAAACCTTAGCTGGGTTCCAGCCAGTAATCCTATCTGTATAATCATATCACTTTTAATACCTGAGAAGTATTTGAAACTCAGCATTTCATAATCAGGGAGAGAGGAAGGAAAAGGACAAAGCAGCTGCGTTTCAAAGAGTAACAAAAATTCCTATATAATTTTTTACAAACAGGTTTCATAAAAAAATTGTATCACTTTGTGTCAAAAAAGATGTTTCAAACCTACTAGCAAGCAGTATAAATATGCGCTGTTCCACTGGAAAGATTTTGCTGCTTTTAGGATCGGGCAGTCATCTGACAGCAGTCTACTTATCCACTTTGAAGGTCTCAAGAAGACAGTCATATCTTCCACTAGCAATCTGCTTTAAGTATATCAGCATACAACATAGTTGTTGCTTTCTAAGCATAAATTTGAATACAAAAGTTTTTAAAATGCTTGAAAGTTAATTTACTCTGAAGTTCTTGCTAGAAGTCACTTTCATGAAGATCATACTGTATAGAATACATTTTCACATTGATAAAAAAAAAGTACAGCTTGAGTTGTGTTAGCAAGAGAAGAAATCGTATTTCCTGGTCTAATACTAAAAAAGAAAGTAACACTTTATTAATAAAAGTGTATATTTAAAGCTTTAACCCACTTACAGTTCTGATAATACAGTTTGATGGAATGTAAGTAGACCCTTTTTTCTCCAAAACTGCAGCTATTAGCAGCTACAATGGCTAATATTTAAAAAACATGCCTGCACTTAAACAGGCCTAGTACAAATTGCTTACAAGAACCGTAGTCATTCCTGAACTTCAACCCAATAATCTTAAAACTAAATCAGCCTATACATCCCTTATCTTTACAAAATAGGCTGAAAAGCAACAGAAAATCTAAATCTACTGTTCTTTCCTAAGAATGCAAGATGCAGTATCACATTTCACTGCTCACTGAAATCTAGGTCTTCAGCTTGGTTTTTAAGCAGTTACTTACTTTCTTCCTAAGTATTATCAGTGGAACACTGGACTATTTTTTACATCACTTTGCAATGCACTGGTGAGAAGCCACCTCTCAAATGAGATGTGCAGCCAGGCACATACAAGTTTTTGCAGTTTAATCACACTGTCAATCCATGCTGACCTAAGATCTTACTGAAGTTAGTATTAACACTTCTGTGTGTGCTTCAATGCCAAATTCAAGACCAAAAGTGTCCACAGAGGTAGAGCGATTTCTGTGACATTTCTGTAAAAGAGAAATATGCAGCATACAAATGTTCATAGGTGAAATACAGTAGAGCATTGAACTCCTATTTAGTTTTAGCGACTTGCATCAGCTACTTCAGCATCTACACTGCCTACCTGCGCTTACACAGTTACCCAGCTGCAAACACCAGTTTCCTGTTGTACTTGGGGATGAAACCATGTACCCTGTGAGATCCAATGCGATGCTCAGCCAGACTTCCTGAGTGCCACACCGGGCTTTGAGCACACTCTTGTGGCCGCGTGCAAGCACAGCAAAATCAGAGCCTATGAAGGACACGGGATGTCAGACAGGCTTCTTGGACTGGCTTCTTTCACAAAGAAGGCCTTAATCCAGCAGTTACAAAAGAAGTGACTCAAGTATCACAGGTGACTTGCTGCAGAAACATCATTCCTCGACGCTGGTATTTGGAAAGAGCTTTTATCAAGAGAAATGTTACATCAAAAACATTCAGTGCAAAACAGAGACAACCAGAGAAGCCATTTAGTTCCTTTAGTGTTCAAGTGCCTCCACATTCCTGCTTCCTCTCTCCTCTTCAGAGAGGAAAGAACACACATCCCTCCTCTTCCTATGACATCTGAGGTGCTGCCTATCTTAGCAAGAAGAGAAAATACAACACTAGTCATTTATCATTATTTAAATATTGTCTATGCTTGAATGTAAATTGAAAATCTATCCCCATTCCATTGTCAACTTCATGTAATCTTCACAGGTGACTTCTTGTGTGCGCAGAGGAGGGTGACATAGGGAACTCCAATGAATGCCCACCTTTCACTGGGCCAGAACTTTATGACAGGGCCCTGTTCAGGTATCTCAGAGGCAGCATCAAAGTAGGCAAAGCAGACACAGCCCAGGTATGCAGCAAGGCAAATCAAAATGTGCCTGAGAGTAGACACCCACACATCCAAAAAAAACAAACAACCGCCCCAAAAACAAAAACATAAAAAAGCAAACAAAACCCCAAACAGAAACAAAACAAAGACAAACAAACAAAGAAGAGAGAGAAAAGAAAGGGAAAAAAAATCAGTAACATGACTTCGGTAAAGTAGCCAACTAGATCACTATAAAATCAGTCTGTCCTTCACCATATTCCCCCAAGTGCCCCATAGGGCTGCTGCCTGTCCAAATACAGAGAATAAGGAAAACTACAAAACTAGCTTATTGCTGGTTTAAACAGGCTCCTGCTTTTTGGCTTCTCTGCACCTGACATATCTGTGCAGAAATGCTGACATATGGCCCCTGAGTAAGCGACCACAATTTGCCGGGGGGTAAAAGAGAAAAGGCATCAAAGCCCTTCACTTTTCCTCTACTTCACCATCATTAATTAATCACAATGAGGATTACCATCACTGTTATTGATGGAATAATCATCATATTCCATAATTTATAATCACAGCTTCAGCTGAGCAATGATTTTTTTTTTTTTAATAATCAGTATGGTAAGGAATTGAGTTACAATTAATGAACTTAGGTGTCTGAAGAATTTGATCAGGCCAAATAGATTCCTAAATCTGTCATGTTGAATAGTGTGACTTGCTCTGGGCTTATAATTTTATCAGAAGTTCTGTCTAGAACGAACCAGAAATAGCCACGAGGCAGCACAGAAGGGTAATGTGGTGAGTTTATAATGTGGTGGACTTTATACACAACACTTACCATACACAGTGCAAATAGGGGAAATTAAATGAGGACCAGATCTCACAAAATGCTTTGTCACTGATCCAGCAGAAAAGTGCTAGCATCCACCAAAGACCCGAAAAGAGACCCAGTTTGTATACACGCAGGTTTTCACACCTGAGAAGAAAAACATAAATAAGTTGTTATAAAACAATGCCAAACACCCATCTTTAAAATTACTCTACCATAAATGTCCTTAACAGAGGAACTTCAGGTAAAGTAAATCTGGTTTTGATGCAAGGCAGCGGTGAGGTAACAAAACAAACAAACGTTTTATCAATAGCTGTGTTTTGGGTATTGTCTCTTACACTGATGTGCAAATGGTGGGCAAACATCAAACCATTCCCATATCTAGGGAGGGGTATTCAGGACAACTAGTAATTAGTTACACATGCTGTCAGTTAACAACCAGCCATTCAGCAAGTACTCAGATTTGGTCATAGGTGGAACTTCATAAAGATTCACATTATTGCCAAGGCACATTTACAGTCTTCACTGAGATGTACAACTGTTTGTAAGAGCATGACACTAAACCGTGTACCTAAGCCGATACACGTATGGATCAATTTCATACGTTTCACAGATAAAACCAGACTAGTGAAATGGGTACTTGTGCATTCTGACAGAGGAAAGGGTGTGTGCATTGAGAATATGAAGGCTTTCCTGGCCACGTCTGAAGTACATGAACAAACATGTGCAACTGCGTTCCATTTAAGATAAGAGGGTTGGCCTCAAACTTACAGTTCAAATACCAAGAGCAGAAGGCAATTAACTTGCACGGTTCAAAGAATTCAAGGCAGCAAAGGAAAACTGAAGGCTTCGTTACCCAATGCAAGATCAGCCATAGAAATGGTACAGACTGTTATGAGAGGTTTGCTCAGTACCATCACCAGGTACTGCAATTTATTTTTATAAAATATAGCAGTAGATGATGCAGATGTTCTGCAAAGGACTACTTTAAGGCAGAAAGTGTCTGATCTGCATAATACTCCCGGGTTTTCTGTGATCACCCATCATGGAGTCTTCAGCTCCTGCAGTAATTGTGCTTCAGAGGGCTGGGGACATGGTTGCTGAGGAGGGAGGAGATTGCAAAGCAAGTATTTCTAATACAATGAAGAGATGTAATAGCCTTCCTTTATTTGTCAACAGACACTGATCATTCCAACTATCACTGAAAGAGAACCTGTTAGCAGAAGGCCTGAAAGACATGTTCCCACTGCTGTGCACAGATCTGTGACATGCTCCTATCCTAGTCTGAAAGAACCTGGATCCCACAAAGCTTGCACTTCCATTTGCACCTTTTGCCTACACAATGCACTGGTGTTCCCTATTTAACACAAAGGGCAGTTATTTAAATATCAGAGTTGCTGCAGACACTGGTGTGCTCCAGTCAATGTAACAGAAGATCTCTTTAAAATGTAAAGATCAGTCTCAGGTTCTTTTCTATTTGCATTCTGGTTTTATGGTTTCTAAGGTCCTGACTGATAGCTATCCTCCAAAACCTAGAGATTAACCTTATTTGTCAGTTTGACTGTATCATATTCTCCACAGCAGAAGACAGTGCTGTAAGAAGAAAGTGCTGTAAGACTCACAGCACATCTTTGAGAACTGGAACATCTTCCACACATGCCTGGGCTTTGCTCCACATTCCCACTAGTATTCAGACTGCAATCATGCCACCACCTTAACTTTATGCACACTCTACAGAAGAAATGCTATCCATGAAGTGAAACCCTTGCTCTGATTCCACAATAAACGGATTTGAGTTAGATCAAGTTGCAGCATGAGGTATGCTGCAAGACAGAAGACTGACCTAGTGTAATGGCATATGGAAAAAAAAATCCTTGACAAAGATGTCTGAACTGCCAAACAAGTTTACATTAGATCTGCTCTTGAATGTTGAAGAAGCATTTCTGAGCTGCTATCAGAAGCACTGAAGCCAGATCTAGCATATCATCACACTTGGCCTAAGGACCTCAGAAGGCAATGCCGCATTCGGGAGAAATATACTCACCTCTTCAACTCTGCAATAAGCAAAGCTGTGCAGGGAACACCCAGAGTCATCAGCGAGATGTTGTTGATGGCAGGTTTAATGAAGGCAAGGCAGGTGGTAACTCCAGACAGGACACCCACAGCAGCTTTAAAACGGCTCCTGAACAGGGTTTTTATGGGGCAGAAAGACTGCTCTTAATTCAAAGCTTATAATTGCTAAAACCAGAAATCTTAAAATTATTTTAATAATGTGACAAAATTTAGGTTTCTCTAGTTGTGCTGAGGAGATGCAATGACGACACACATAGAGTGGATGTGGATCTGGCACAGACTTGCATGTGAACGCAGAGTTAATCATATACACAAACCTTTGCTATGCAGTGGTCTTCTACACACATGTGCACACACACACTCATCACTGGCTTCAAAACAAAGACCACAGTCCAATCTTCCTCCTCCCACAAGCTATGAACAAATCCATCTCTGCACACAACACTGTACTTCCTCAAAAAAGTTCTGTGTCATCATTCTTCAAGCTTTTAACACGGATTTTTAGGATATTTTGTTACTGTTAATGCCCCAACTTCTACAGTCATCTTACAGTCTGCTTTCCTTTATCTCTTTTAAGCCTTAAAAGATATTGAAAACACATAGTAAGTATGAACATTTCTTTTAATCAAATTCAACAGTAGGTGAGCAATTCCCAAAAGGATCTTTTCTGAGACTAGGATTTGGTATATTCCTAGCATAAATGAAATCAAAATTGGGCCCTCTGCAGACAGCCTGACAATTTTTAAGTTAAATATATGTTAACAGTTGTTTAAACTTCAAGTTTGGACTTTTAACAACCTATTTCCGGTCTGTGGGTGGACTATGGCAGACAGAGGATCATCACACTGCCCTTCCAACTACTGGCCCACAGCTTTATAAAACAGTTGCTGCCCAAGAATGGCTTTTCTATGTCTGAAGTAGGGTCTCAATATACTTCTGCAGTACCATTCCATGGACACAAGTGTTAACGCCTTTGCCGAGCTCATTCAATTTGCCTTCTCCTATAATGTTCTCCTTTCTCCTGGAAGGCAATATTTAAGATACTTAAGTAGGAAGATCTGATCTGACATGAATATCTTCATGAATAAAGACATCACAAATTGGTCGTGATAGATAATAACATTTGCAGCACTGAAAATACAAAATGTGATGAGAATGAAGTAAGTGAAGACCACAGCACTGAGCACAGGATAGACATAATAACAGAGCATTAGCTAGGCAACACAAAACCCCCAAAAATATTAACCAAACTTGTTCTAGGTTAGGGCCTGTTGCCCAGCATGTCTCTCTCTTGTACCCTTTAAAAAGGAATTAAGACATTAACAAGTAACTGTTTTGACAGATTCTCTGGAAGAGACATGTCCTGAAATGTTAAAGGATAGGGGACATCCTTCACCTCATCTCAGTGTTTTTATGGATCAGTTATAACCTGGGAGATTTAGTATTTACAGTTTTAACATGAAGTTCAACAGTATTCCACCTCAAAAGTGCTGTTATTCTTTTAAAAAAGAATATAGTTTAACATCTCGGCCCATTCTATGTACATACCCAGCGTGAGGGACTGAAAAAAGTTTCTAAAAAGTTATTACTAGCTGGAAACAACTCTGTGTGGGAGAGAAGGAGGCAGATCGGGTTCTGCCAAGGTGGGATTATGCTGTGCTGCCTCCATAACCCCACCTCCTTGAGACCACTGGTGCAGCTGTCAGCCACTGGTACGTGAGGAGCAGTGCCCCATACCTCTGCCTGACTCTGGAGCCTTTAGTCCAGCCCACACCACATGCCCTGAAGCCCCAAACCCAGCCCCAGAACGGCTGGCACACTGGAAGCCCCACCTGTGGGGATGGCCACAGGAGTCCAGAGCAATAAAATCAGCACCATGTGCAACTAGCACGTATTTGCGGCCCTGCTGCTTCCTGGACTCCTGGAAGCTGGATCTATGCTGGATCTAGGGTGGTAGCTAAAACTCTCTTTTTCTCTCCTTCTTTCTCTCTTTTTTTTTTCTTCTTCTCCTAATTTCCTTTTCTTGATAGTTGAGTAACTGAAACCTGGATGGGTTGGAATTTGCTAAGTCAATGCTTTGTAAAATGCTCTATGTTGATTGAATGCTTCTTTGAAATTTTTGCTAAGTTCCTTTATTTTCCAAAATTTGTCATTAGAAGTGTATTATTTGACCCCCTGAGAAGCATCGTAGTGTTTCTCCTGTGTCTGGCCTCAAGTTATAAAAGAACTGAAGGCCCCTTTTAATAAATCTGTAAGGTGAGGTTTTTTTAACATAAAACCCCTACAATGAGCTCTTGGGTTGAGCCTGGGGTGTTACACCCAGAACCACCAAAAGATAGTGACAGATGAAATAAAACATCCCCTTTAGGCTTCTGAGGGATAATTTACAGAGTTTACATAAATTACACATCAATTCAAGACTCTGAATCCTTCTTCACTTGAACTGAACCTCTAAGATTCACACCATAAACCAAAAGACCCCAGTAAAGCCTGTTTGCTTGTTAAGCTGATGGTGTTCTATAACAGCACTGTGCTGCAATATGCAGATGTACTAAATGACAAAGCCATTAAACCACATAAAATCATAGAATAGGCTGAGTTGAAAAGGACTCATCAGGATCATTGAGTCCAACTCCTGGCCATGCACGTCACACCCCAAGAATCATAATAGGTACCTGAGAACATTGTCCAGATGCTTCTTGAACTCAGACACGCTTAGTGATGTGACCACTTCCCTGGGGAGCCTGTTCTAGCGCCCAGCCACTCTTCAGGTGAAAAACTTTTTCCTGATATCTAACCTAAACCTCAATCCAACTCAGCTTCATACTGTTTCCTCGAGTCCTGTCACTGGTCTCTAGGAGTGAAGAGACTGACACCTGCCTTCCTGTTTCCCCTCATGAGGATTTTGAAGACTGCATAGAGGTCTCCCCTCAGTCTCATCTTCTCCAGGCTCAACACATCAAGTAGCCTCAACCACTCCTCATGCAGCTTCCCCTCAAGGCCCTTCACCGTCTTTGTTGCCCTCCTTTGGACACTCTCTATAAGTCCAAAACTGCACACAATATTCACCTCCCTTAACTGGCTGGTGATGCTTTGCCTGATGCCCCCAGGACACGGTTGGCCCTCCTGGCTGCCAGGGCACTGCTGACTCATATTCAACTTGCCATCGACCACGACCCTCAGGCCCCTTTCCATGTCAGTACTTTCAGGCATCTCATTCTCCGGTTTGTTTGAACAAGCAGGGTTGCCCCATCCAAGGTGTAGAATTCAGCACTTCCACTTATTGAACTTCATCTGGTTGGTGATTGCCCAGTCCTCTGATTTGTTGAGGTCTCTCTGCAGGGCCTCCCTGCCTCTGGGGGAGTCAACAGCTCCTCCCAGTTTTGTGTCAACAGCAAATTTATTTAGTATTCCTTCAAGTTCTGTGTCCAAGTTGTTAATGAAGATATTGAAGAAAACTGGGCCATACACATAGGCTGTACACAGTAATTAAAAGTACACTCTTCCCAGTGCAAGTTATTTTGAGGAATGGCCAATCTCATGAATAAACTTCTCTTCACCCACCCTCCATTAGCAGCTTCTAATCAGGATATGTCGAGGAAAAAGAGAAAACCAAAAAAACAAACCAGTCCTAGCAGACTTCAGAGAGAACAACTGGTGCTGGAATTCAAACCTCTGCACCACCTCAACTTTACTACATAAAAGAACAATATGTACAAAGTTTATAGCATAATTCTTTTAGCGGGGGGCAAACCAAAATCAAATTTTTTAAACTGGCTATGATGTGCTTTTTTCTAAACCTGCAAGAAAAGTAAAAAATCCTTTTACAAAAACACTAGGCTTCTAAAGAAATGCTTGGCCTTTGAATATTGAAACACCATCCTTAACTACTGCCTCAAATATTCAGATGAACATTCAGCTGACTTCCAAAAGTCCACTTGTATTTACACTTCAGGATATACAAAAGGAAGAGTAAAAGATAGCTTCTTTTACATTAGCTGTAACTTATATAAACTACTCATTGTAAACATCTCCCTGCAATAAATAAGAATAGACTCTTCCAGAGGCAAGTCACCTCATCCCAATATCTGAAGTTACAGGGTGCAAACCCCACCCTCAGCAACTGCAGACTTGGAATCCAGGAAAAAATGGGCTGAAATATAAGCAACCATAAGAGAATGGAGTTAGAAAAGACAGCAGCAACAGTGGTAAGGCCGGATGACAACTCAGTGCCGTTATGTGCAGGTTTAGGTGTTAGCACAAGAAGTTTCAAGAAACTTGAAAGTGTACATGCATGATTGTATGATTACCTGTCATTTCGAAAAACTCTGGGTAGGTATCTCCTAGGGAACCACATGGCAAGAGCACACATCAGGACCCAGAGAATAGCCAGCTCATCCAGCATCTGGCCCAGGAAACTGAGTGTGGCATGAAAATAAACAGATCCAATTCCTGGAAGAATTAATCAAAAGACAACATGAATAGTTGCAGTACCATAATAGACTGAAATGCACTGCTTATGCTCAGAACTTCAAAGCAAATGGTGGATACCATTTGGTCTACAAAAGATCATTAAAAAAGAAAACCAGAAAATAAATGCCAAGTTTCCTAAGAGGCAATTCAGGTCATCAGCCCCTCATTAATTACAAAGCAAACACTTCACAGAAGTAGCAGCTGAAGATGTCAGCTCCTACTGAAAAAACAGATGTATATGAAGAGACATCGTGTGGAAAAGTATAATGCAAAACAAATCAAGGAATATAAGCCAAATGGTGCTTCTGAATTTTCTCAATAGCACAAGAATAGGTAAGACAAAGATAAAAAGCAGCATCTGATGACTACTCATTCATATAAGTTTACAGGTGGAAAGGGTCACACTGTCCCAGAGGGCTCTCATTATCCCTTTAAAGTGCCTCCAGGAATGAACATACTTCAGAATCTCACATCCACAAAACAGCTCAGCTTTTGGCCCTTCTCAATACAATGCTAAACCTATTCAGTTGCACTGGCACTTTCAGCTTTCATTTAAATGACAACACAGGAAGGAGGGTAAGCACTGCTGTACAATAAGCAAAAACATGAAAAAAAGAAAAGCATGCAAAAGGATAGGAAGGGAACAGAACTATGGCCAAAGTTCCCACCAACCTCAAACTGCAAAAGGCATTTTCCTTTCAGAAACTATGGCTGTTTCGGCTTTATGCAAGTAAAGTCAAACTCTTCTGTACATGTCAAGATTGCTTTGTTTTGCAAAACAATCAAGTGCAAGCAATAAGAACGGACTTCCTCCCTCAGTTCACACATGAGTTGGCAAACAGACTAACCAACTTACCAACCACGACTAGCAGAGTCCATATTAAATATATTCCACTGTTGAAGCAGATTGCGTATTGACGGAACAAGCACATACATATGGGTGGTAAAACGAAAAACAAGACGTTGCTTATCTAGGAAAAAAAACAACAGTCTCACAAAGACAGAAAGTAAACAAACCTTAAATATCCACAGGGTTTCTAAGACATCTATAATAACATTTTGTCATCCAGTGAAGCCCCAGCTCAACAAATTATGGCCCTCTGTTTTCTCCAATGCTTAGATGTTTTTGCAAAAGCATTAACTTGTTTTGTTTAGTATCACTAACTAATAACAGCATAAAACCTTTAAGCAACATAAAATGCAGCTAGTCATCTTTAAACTACATTTCAAGTCAATTCCCAGAGGAATTTTATTGAGAATCTACAAATATTCAAGACTGTGGCAATCTGGAAGGCATACAACAGCAAGCAGCTGAGGAACAGGATGTACAGACCAGTGACTTGTCCTCTCAATGGCTGTCAAGCCTAGCATGGAAAAAGCACTAGAAGTACTGGCACGAGACAGAACTAATAAAGCTGGAAGTCAATTTACTGAGCAACAGTTCTTATGTGGAAGGTCTGAAATACAACACTAAGCTAAAAGAGTTAGAACCTTTTTCGTGCAGGGCAAAAAGAGCATGGAGCTTTAAGTCCTTTCACATTTCATTTTTTTCTCTTGGTTCTCCATTACAGAAACAACTGAATATGAAGTGAAACTAGCTACAGGAAGGTGAAAAAGCTGATAATTCAGGCCATTGCTAGAGGCTTTTGTAATTTAATATGTAAGATTTGAATGAAGTCATGTTTTATGTTTTCTCTTGCCTACCAACAGCCTAAAGCATGATTCTCCAGTTAAAGATTGAAAATACTTTACTGGCAATTAGCAGGAGCTGTCACTCTGGTAGTGATCACTTGGTTTTCCCCAGAAGGAGCTTCCACTGCTGAGGGCCAGCCATGGCACTGTAACTGAGCAGCTATGAAAAGACTCTACTGCTGCTTCACAATGGGGCAGGGGACAGAATGAGTTCTCCAGCCTCAGCTTTCTCATGTTTGCCCACTTAGCCTAAGCACAAGAAAAAAATCATCCCCTGCAACATTTCCATAAAGTTGATGTAGAAAACAACTCTGAATTGTTTTGGCAAGAGCACTCCTTTGGGAAAGATCACTTCCGCACAGAGACTTACAAACTTTTACTGACATTAGTGAAAATCTAGTGGAGAAATAATTCAAGAACGACCTATGAATTTGTTCATTCAGCCACTGTTGTCCACCATTCAACACAATCTGAGAACAGATTTTATGAAGCAGAACAATTTGCTAAACCCATGTAAAGCAACCTACATGTTCAAAGAAAGGCTCACTTGAGCATCTTCCATTCACAAAAGGAAACAAAGAACTCCATGCAGTAATGCTGGGAACACAGTCATGGACCAGGATCCCAGTGCTGATACACCCACAGAGTGGGAGGACTCCCCTTTCCCCAAGGCAGGCAGGAAGCATACATGGTGACAGCTGGGATGATGGAATATGAACAAGTCCTCTAGGGGCCTGGGAGTGCTCTATGCATTTTAGGCTTTTAGACACCGTTAGGTCAAAGACAGCTGTCAATGGGCAAAAATAGATGGTTATAAACAAAGTGGATTGGAAGACAACTCTTCCATCTCTACAGCTGAAACTGACTAATGAGGAACATCAGAACAGGCAATCACAGTCTGTAAAGTTTGGCGAGAAAGTCCTTATTCCGCCTAGGAACAAGACAACGAAGGAAACTCTACATCTGCTTACCGCAGCTGTAGCAATGCAGATTTACACTAGTGATGAGCCAACAGGGGAGCAGTTCTGTCCTACGGTAGCACTCCTCTGGCACTGAACTACCATTCATGCTAAAGTCCTGTCTGCAAATGCAAGGAAACCCTTGCAAACTGGAGCCTGAGCACGACTTGTACTCTTTGCAGTGGCCAGCAGGAAGATTTCCTAAAATCTTAGAAGTTGAAATAATTTTAGTACTGACAGTTTCAATACTACAGTATGATTTCAGAAAGTAAGGTTTCAGAAAGTGCATGTGCCATTTTTTACATAATAAATTGGCCTGCATGATTTCGTAAAGTACAACTCATGCAGTGAAGAGCAAAAATTGATATCAGTAGTAGAGAAAATTTCCTTCAGGATCTGCAAAAGGCAATGATTAAAAGCTACAGTTCTAGAAAAAAGGCAAGCAGGCCATCAATAACAGTCCATCCTTTGGCTTCATATAATTCTGGACCTTTAGTTTTAATTTCCAACTAATTAATTATACATTAAGAATACAGGACATAGGCCAATTGGACAGAGAGAATGCCAGAGGCTTGCTCAGATCATGATCACAGAACTTCACTCACATCTGGCCACTCCTGACACAGTATGTTTCTTGCAGTCCTACCAAAGGTCCTGTATTCTTCACTATCAGCTACATCTCCCAGACATCAGCTGCAGCATTTCATCACCATAGGAAAACTTACTGCTCTACCTCTTTGTGAGCAGAAAGCAAAAGTGGACTGAAGTAGCTCTCAGTGAGATCAGAGAATTTGTTATCTTCTATATCCCAGTACACGAGCGTGCTACTCACAAATACTAAAAATCTTCAGTGACAAAAAAGATGAAGCAGAGAGAGTACAAGCATTCTCTCATAATCCTAAGACTACCTCACAGCTTTTTAACACTTTTATCTCCATGCCACTAGGGAATACAAAAAGAGAAATAAACTCCTGGCAATTAATTCCCTTCTTACATGGAAATTTGGCAAGAAAGTACAAGCACAACTGAATACAACATATTGAACTGCTAAGTACTGACTTTGCTAACAACAGGGAAAAAATACTGGTTTCAGGCGTTTAAAACACAAAAGCTTTTTTTGTAAGTATCTCTTCAGAGAGGGTTATACTGCATCAGGACACATTACTTTATTCATTTCAGAGAGAAAAGGAAAAAAAAAAGAGATAGTTTTCTTATAACTATTCTTTCAATTTGAGCCACAGAGTGTTTTGTGGCCTCTTTATTGAAGAAGTATAAGACCTGAATCACTTTACTGGACAAAATCACATCAGTCTAGCTTGTGTATGTTTCAAAAAATTAGTCTGATCAATTTGTTCAAAACCTTAAAACAGATATTCTCCTACTGATTTTAGCATGTTGAGTACTTTGGTTTGAGTCCCACCAGAGTAAATAAATGTTTCACAAATGCACTACAGATAAGCTGCTCCAGTTTTGTGCTTACACGAATATTGCGTGAGACCTTAACCAAAACTCTGACCTTAGCTGTGACAGCTTAAAATGCGGATTAGCAAGGTTTTAATCTAAAGCTTAACGACCCAGATACCAGATTCAGGTTTGCTGAAGAATGGTTCCTGACACTTCAAGAGGTTTGATTGAGTCAGTATCAGAACTGAAGCATCCTAAAAGGAATAAAATTTGGATGCCACCTAAGATACCTATTAGAGTAGGGCCAAAATTTCCCAACTGTCTTGTGAGCATCAGTTTTTACGCTGACACAGTTGTACAACCACACCAATCCACTTCATGTAACTAGCTTTAATTTTCAGAAGTTGCTAATGCAAAAATCCTTACAATGACTCGCTACTCCTGAAGAGATGCTAAACATGACTATCCTCAACACAGCCTCTTTTTTCCCTCTGCTTTTGGTGTACAGCTTGCTGTTTATACAGAGCTGCCACAATATAGCAGGCTTCAGGGCAAACCTTTCCCTCATCTGTTTGGAACCTCAGTTATTCATCTGGACACAAATGCAGCTTCTAGCATTTTGCAAGCTTCTATAGCACTGCTAATCAGCTCAGTACAGTGCTGTGGTTTAAACCTGCCAGCAACTTTTTAGTGGTTTAATCACTGCCCAGCCACTCGCTCATGTTCTTCACAGCGTGATGGGGGAGAGAACTTAAAGGGTAAATGTGAGAAAACTGGGTGGGTTGAGAAACTGTGGATTGAGAAATAGACACTTTAACAGGTGAAGCAAAAGCTGCACACATAAGCAAAGTGAGACCAGGAATTCATTCAGAACTTCCTATGGGCAGAGGAGTTCAGCCATTGCTAGGAAAGCAGGACCCCATCACGTGTAACATGATTTTGGAAGACAACCACCATCACTCCAAACCATTTCCTTCTTCTTCCCCCAGTTCTATATGCTGACCACAATGCCATAGGCTCTGGGATATCCCTTGGGTCAGCTGGAATCAGCTGTGCCAGCTGTATCCCCTCCCAACTCCTTGTGCACCCCCAGGCCACTCACTGGTGGGGTGCAGTGAGCAGCAGAAAAGGCCTTGACCTGAGGAGCGCTGCTGAGCAGTAAATGAAAACATCCCTGAATTATTAACACTGTTTGCAGCACAAAACATCACCCACAGAAGTGACTATGAAAAAAATTAACTCTACCTTAGACTGAACCAGCACATACAGTCAGATGGATACCCATCCCCCTGCATAGCTGGCTCCCAAACACATTTGCTGTCTTCAAATAACTTTGTTTATCCTGACCTTTTCCTCCCTTTGTTTTTGGTTCTTGCAGGGTGACATCAGACACACAAAAAAGCCAACAGTTTCCCTCATACACCCTCAAAATTCTCCCGCAGCCACCACCCATAGGTCTTTGGCAGCAAAGCAAAAGCAAAAAAAAATCAGATTAGCAACGTACACCATACAATTACTTGCTCTGTATGTGCAGCACCTCCCATTATACAAACTCCAGTGAGTGAAGCCAGACACTAAATTCTTTCTTCCACAAGACATTGGCTTGAAAGGAAAAGATAGATCAGAAAAGGATGGAATACGAGAGAAAAAACCTGCACATTTTAAAGCACAAAAGAGACAAAGCAGAAGCTCCAGCTCCTCATTTGAGCAAATACCACCTCTTATAGAACAGAAAAGAAACTGGGCATTTGCAGGTTTGCTCCTGGACACCTGTTTCTCATGGAAAGGCAAACTACTTGAAAACCCGATGGGTTATCTTACTGTGGTGTACCTATTTGTCACTGTAATTCTTTACATCAACAGGTTGTCAGGAGCATTGCTCCCTTTCCAAGATGTGTGTACTGGGCAGTCCAGCTCTGTTGCTAAGACTGGGCTTTCTTAAGTTTTACATCCAAAGACCAAGGTGTTTTTATCTTGACCCATCACTGCCGTGCAGCCGTCAAGGGGATGCCACCTGTCTGAGCAGACGGGTACCAGACGCGGGCAATCCGGCACCGAAAATTCTGTGCTTGGCCACCACAAGGCTCGACACAGACGAGGAGGGGGCCTGCTGCACACTACTTACTCGTAACAGTATGGCTACTATGACTAGTAACCTCCCCGTTTTATACCTGCAACACCAAACCTCTCCTTTTCCTTTAATTTTAGGCATGTCAGGGACTGGAGAAGGAAAAGAAGGAGGCAGCCACAGAAGGATACGCTACATTTCCACGAAAACCGCGCAAGAGACGGGGGCGGCAGGCAGCAGGAGCCCCCAGAGCAGCAGCGGACCCTGCCGCCGCCTCACGCTCGCCCACCCGCCGCGCCCCGGCTCCGAGGGCTCGTCGCTCCCGCATCGCCAGGCAGCGGCCGCCGCCACGCACCGTGTTGTAGAACTCGGCGATGGCGGGCACGATGGTGTAGTTGTCCTCACACCAGTCCACCTCCGAGCTGCCGGCCCGCAGTGGGTCCCACCACAGCAGCGCCCCCATGGCGCCCGCCCGGGCGGCCCCGCTCCGGCCCAGCGCCGCCGCGGGGCGGACACCGGGGCGGACACCGCGGGGCGGACACCGCACCGCCCTGCCCGCCGCCCGCGCAAGGGAAGGGGCGGGAAGGGGCGGGAAGGGGCGGGAAGGGGCGGGGCGGCCCCTCAGCGCGCAGGCCGGCGGGCCCGGTGTGGCGGTCACCGTGCTGTGACTGCCCCGCGGGGCTCCGGCCAGCCGGGCGGGCTGAAGCGCCACTTCCCAGCTCCCCGGCGCCCCTGAGGAGCCAGATACCTGACCCGCGTGGGCTGCCCGCCCGCATCCCTTGCCTCCTTAGAAATACCACAGAATCACAGAACTACTAGGGTCGGGAGGGACCATTCAGTCCAAGGCAGGGTCACCTAGAGCAGGTTACACAGGAACGTGTCCAGGTGGATTTTGAGTGTATTCTCCAGAGAGCGAGACTATTCGACCTCCCTGGGCGGCCTCTTCAAGTGCTCTGCCACCCTCAGTGGAAAGTTCTTCCTCATATTGCAGTGGAACTTCTTGTGTTTTAGTTTATGGCCATTACTCCATGTCCTGTCACTGGGCACCACTCTCTGTGAGATATTTATATGTACTGATGGGGTCCCCCTCTCAGTCTCCTCTAGTCTTAACTAAATACGCTCAGCTCCCGCAGCGTCTCCTCATGAGAGAGATACTCCAGGACCCCTGATCATCCCTGTGGCTAAGGAGCACTGCCTCGCTGCAGGAGAGGTATCACAGGAAACAGTTGCCCCCGGGCAGGTGCCGGGTTCCCGCCGCGCCACCCCGAACGGGGTGGCGCGGCGGGAACCCGGCACCTGCCCGGGGGCCAGGCCACGCCCCCTCATGCCACGCCCCCCCACCCAGGCCACGCCCCTCTCGCTGCCCAAGCCTCGCTCGCCATAGGGCAGCCCCGGTCACGCGGGCGTGCGGGCGGGCGACGCTCTCGCGAGAGCTGCGCGGTGTATGTGGGCAGTGCGGGCGGAAGTGCGGCCCTTTCCGGCGGCGCCGAGGCTCGAGCAGGATGAAGGTGAGGCGGTGCCGGGCCGGGCCGGTGCCCCGGTGCGAGGGGTGCCGGGCCCCTCCTCGCCGCAAATGGCCCCGCCGCAGCCCCCGGGGCTGCCGCCGCCGCCCGATGGCCCCCGGCGGCGGGGATGGAGCGCTTTGGCGCGGCGGATGGGAGCGGATTGGCAGCGGGCGACATGGCGGCCGCGCTGGCCCCGCCGCCTCGGCCGGGGCTCTCCGGACGCCGGGCAGCGGAGCGCCGGGCTCGGGAGCGGCCGCTTCTCGCTCGGAAGGGCCTTGCGAGCGAGAGGCCCGTGCAGCCGGCAGCGGGGCCCGGCGGGGCGGCGCCGTGCGCTGTTCCCGGGCCCTGCTCGGACACAGTGCCGGGGTGCGCCCCCCCCAGCGCTGCGCTGCGCTGCGCTCCGCAGCAGCCCCAGGGCGTCACAGGGATCACCCACGGCAGGGGCCGCTCCCCTGAAGTGGCTGTGGTGGTTAGCGCGGCGTGTGCTACGAGGGGTTTCCAGGAGGAGGAGGGCACAGGTTTCTGCTGCCCTCACCTCGTTCTGCTCGCGATTGACTGAGCTCGTGATTGAGCTCCGGCTGCGATAGTCAGTTTTCTGTGCGACTGAACGAGTTGTGCCGCCCAGAGTGGCCGGACGCTGACCTCCCTGGCTCGGCACCCCGAGTGCCGCGGTGGTGGGCTGTGCCTGGTGAGCGTTCGTGGAAGCGGGTGGGGAATTTCAGCTCTCGAATGCCGAGATCAAACCAGCAGGTAAATACTGATCTTTTGTTAAGGTGCCTCAGAATTTTCAACCGTATCTGTCCTTTTCTCTTACCTTTTTCTTCTTGTTAGCTCAACATCTCTTTCCCAGCCACTGGCTGCCAGAAGCTCATTGAAGTGGATGATGAGCGCAAGCTGAGAACATTCTATGAGAAACGGATGGCCACGGAGGTCCTGGCTGATTCCCTTGGTGAGGAGTGGAAGGTAAGTAACCTAGAAGGGCGTGTCAGAGTTGTATTTGAGGAGCTTATATTACAGAATTTGTCAGAAACGCAGAAGTCGCGATATAGTGGTTGTATGTCGTATGTTTGGCAGTTATCTTGGAAGTTTCTCTGGCTGTGTATGTACAGAATTAAGTGATTAGTCTAGCCTGTTCTGGCACTTTGATTTATCAGAGTGGAATTTTTTCATTCTTCTTTAGAGCCTTGTGTTTGGGGTTTCTTGCTGTGTTTTGCAGTAGTTTCTTCTTCATGTGAGTGCTCTCATGGTATTCAGGACAAATCTGCAGTGTGAAACTGCTGATCCTTTCTTTAGTGAACAAGCTGGAAATGGACTTTGTCGTGTTTAAACTGCTGCTAACACATGGAAAAAAGCACGCTGGGCCTGGTGGATGGGTTTGGAATACTTCAGTGTTAATACAGACAGTGCACCTGGATTTAAAGAAGTTGATATTTTGTGCTGCCACCTTTGCAAGGGAGGCAATAAAAGCTTTACTTTTTACCTTTATCTCCCTACTCCAGACACTCTTGCAGTTTTCCAGTTTATGATAACAAGCCTTAGTTAGGTTTAGATTAAAGAAAAGCTAGATAATAATGGACAAGATTTTGTGTGGTGTAACTTGAACAAAACTTTAGGAATCGCTAAATATAAGTTATGGTATGCAGAAGTATTTTTTACGTCTTCCAGTAAAATTCCTGAACCATTACAAAGGTGTTGGTTAAAGCAGTTGTTTCCAGTGGCAGTGACTTGTGCTGAATCAGGGACACAGTGTTTAGAGCATCCACTGCGTTGTGACGCCTGCTGCTTTTTGAGGTAATAGAGACAAGGGCAACTAAGAAGCGTGTTTCTGTTTTTTGTAGGGATATGTTGTCCGGATCAGCGGTGGCAATGACAAGCAAGGCTTCCCCATGAAGCAGGGTGTCCTGACTCATGGACGTGTCCGCCTTTTGCTCAGCAAGGGCCATTCCTGCTACCGCCCCAGAAGGACTGGAGAGAGGAAGCGCAAATCTGTTCGTGGCTGCATCGTTGATGCCAACCTGAGTGTTCTGAACTTGGTCATAGTGAAAAAGGGTAAGAGTCTGCATGAAACAAGTAGAAGTAGGCTGGCAAGTTATGTGAAACGCAAATGCAGTCCCATCTTTGTCTTTCTGTGAATGTGTCTTCGGATTCTCTCTGCACATTGCATTCTGGTCACTGAAAGACTTTTTATTGCTGCCAGCAATCTGATCATGTTAAACCAGCCAAGGGTAGCTGGGGTGGTGCTATTGGCAGGCAAACCCTAAGAATTATATAGTATTATCTTGAATTTTTATGTATTTTAAACTTAGGGTTTTGCTGCTGAAGCTGGTGTTCAGTAGACGTAGTAGTAATTGGCATGTTTAAACTTGCATTTTCCAAGGTGAAAAGGACATTCCTGGGCTGACGGACACAACTGTGCCCCGTCGCCTTGGTCCCAAGAGGGCGAGCAGGATCCGCAAGCTGTTCAACCTGTCTAAGGAGGATGATGTTCGCCAGTATGTTGTGAGGAAGCCTCTGAACAAAGAGGGTAAGAATTCCAGTTTTTCAGTTCTTTGGTTTCTTGTAATCACTGGCAACAAGGTGTCCAGCCTACTGCAGTGAATGAAGCACAACTAATAGCAGATCCACGTGGTCACACTCACTGTATTTAAGCTTTGTCTGCCACAGTTTGTGGAAAAGAAGTTTCTTGGTTGCCTCATTTCTTTCACCCCTCTTCCCCTTTTGTTTGATTTTTTAAATTTTTCACAGTTTGTTTTCAAATGTTTGATAGAATCTAGACTAACATTCTAAGAATAACCCAACAGTAGTTGTTACAAAAACAAGATTAAATATAAGGTGAAATGTTGTTGGAACATTTTTATGTTGCAGGAGGGGAAAAAAGCCATTTATAGAGTAGATGGTAAGATTTTGCCCCATTATTTATGGCAATCTCTGAAATAAGCTTTTATTGGAAGGGCACTGCTTTGCTTACTGTCTGTCTCTTGCGGTGTAAGATACTAATTTTGGGTTCTCTTGCATTTGATCAGGGAAAAGAAGTAGTGCAGATTTTTAGCAGAAAGGACACAATAAAACGCAAGCCACTGAAAGGTTTTGGGGAAAAGACTGCATCGTAGGAACTATTTTGTCCATTTTAAGAATGTGATCCTGGTAGATGTCAGACTGTTGCTTGTGACTGCAGAAGTCAGTCAGCACTGAGAAGTGAAATTTTATAGATTTCTGTGATGGTGTTGGTTTTTTTTGCTCAGTGTGGACCTTGTAGATCTGTTTTTGGGGGGGATAAACCATGTTAAACCTGTATTAAATTGTAGATTGCTTTTTAACACTGAAAACTGTTCTGAAAGTTAGATAATGAATATCCTTACTCTTAAAACTTTGAAGTCTAGGAGGAGTTACTATAGACAGACCTGCTGAGAAAGTAGGAATTAACACTTGATTGTTGATAACAAAATCACAAGCATTAGGACTATGTATTGCTAATGTTGCATCTTATACTAATTGATCATTTTTCCTTTAAAATTTGTCAAGATGTTGCACTCCATATAAGTCGCTATAATATGTAGTGCACTAAACTATGCTATCATAATAGTAAGTAGAACTTATTCTAAAGTTGGCTAGAAGAGGCCTGTGGCCTTTTTGGAAGATAGTCTGCCACTTCTGATTTGTAATACTTCCGTAGGCAAGAAGCCCAGAACCAAGGCTCCTAAGATCCAGCGGCTGGTGACTCCTCGAGTGCTGCAGCACAAGCGCAGACGCATTGCTCTGAAGAAGCAGCGCACTCAGAAGAACAAGGAGGAGGCAGCAGAATATGCAAAGCTCTTGGCCAAGAGAATGAAGGTGCGTTTGCAATTTTAATTGCCCCAGAATCTAGGGATTTTGCAAACTTGGCTGTATGCTTATAGCTGCTCTGTACCTAGTTCATTTTGAATGAGTGCCTAAACATGAATATAAACACAGCTGGTCAGCGGGGGGGGAGGTGTTGAATATTTGTCTGTTTCTGCC